GGTCGACGTACCAAGTGAACTCAGTCTCGTCCTACCGCACTAGAATATCTAAATAATGGGCTAAGGGTACAAATCCGCCTATGTGGTCTAGTGGTCAGAGTTCCTGGCTACAGATCAAGGGGTTCCGGGTTCGATTTCCCGGCGCTACCAGATTTTCTGAGAAGTAATATGTCTGGAATGGGGTCCACTCAGTCTCATGAGGATAACTGAGGAGCTATTTCAAGGAAATAGCGGCTCCGGTCTAGAAATCCGAGATCAATGGCCGTGGGGATCCGTTGCGCTGACCACATGACACCATCTATCCGCAGAAGTTGGCACTAACTTCGCCGACAAGCGGCGGTCGCTCGGTCGGTATAGTTCGCTTGCTGACTACAGGCTACAGAGTTAAAATAAAAATCTTACATTGTTATTTGTAAGTCAAGAATCTGCAGAAAATTAACTTTCTTCAAACCGGACGGTACTAGAAGAACGAGGCAACTGAAGATGAAGGAGTGCCGAGTGAGGCCTACAAATTACTGGAGATACCGGCTGGAAGGAGAACAGTCTGGACAGGGTCCAGTGGAGAAATTTCGTTGAGGAGGTCAAGGTCTGCACTGAATTGTAACTCAGTCTGACAGTAAATTATGCCCTCATGTATAATCTGTTGGAAGCTAGATATGCCTGACAAACTAAGTTATGCACTGCGGTAAGTTAAATTGTACTTTGAAAGTATGCCCCCCGGGGTGTTGGCTATTCGACAGATTAAATTATGTCATCGTGCAAAACTGCTAATTCTGATGCTTGCTGAGGTTATCAGTACTTCTCTTAAATTCTAATAGCACAGACAGTTAATTGTTATGTTGAAGATAAACGTGTTTAAATGTTCTAAAAGTATAATAGATTTTTTTACCATTATTCGTATTGCAGTGTGTGAGACAGGATGGTGGAACTGAGAACGCATATTGCAGGTATTATAGATCCGTAAATCAAAAAACGTTTAGAACCTCTGCCTCGAAAGCTATCCCAGTAACAGGCCGTGAAGGCCCATAGGGTTGTGAGACGTCGAGGATCCCACATTTTATATAGACATTCGGTTTACAGATGACGGTAAGTTTGTCAGCCCTACGCGCCGGCCGCCCTTTACCCCCCAGGAAGATTCCTGGTACTCATTTCTGTTAGAGGCTAAGTCGACCCCCGGGCCACTCCGACTGGAAGGATTAGACAAATTGAATAAATCCACCTCATCGGGACTCGAACTCGCGACTTTCCGGCTTGTAGCCTAGTGTTTCAACAAACTACGCTACCGCGTACCCCACATCACGAAATCCTCGTTTAATAAATAAAATTTGTTTGACAATTTTCTGTCAATTGTAGACACGAAGATATATTTGTAACTCGTAAATTCACTCTTTGTAATATGTCCTTAACTCCACTGTGTCTTAATGTGCTGATCCGTACGTCCTCTAGCGATGCTTTATCAACTACATGATTATGACGAGTAGACCTTTAGCTCGTGGTAAGTTAATCACATTCTATGTGGAAAATTTGGAAAGAGTATGGATACAGGCGTCAAAATACTATCCCAGCATTCTCCTGGAAAGTATGAGGAAATCACTAAACCATCAGTCTGGACGGGCTAGTGAGGCAGAGATTCGAGCCCAAGACCTCCCCAGTACAAATCTACATCATTACTCCTAGACAAATATATTCTGTACGACGCTATACTATTTGGAGACGTTCACAATATTGTGACGTGTATACCCATTGCTAGGCAACGACTTGGTAAACACATTCCGGCGGAAGCAAACGCGCAGCAATATGACGTCCATTGTTAGGCAACGGATCAGTAAACACACGCCTCATTAGCAATAGAGACCGTGTTTTCTGCGTGGTTCGTGCGAAGTGGTTATAAAGAAGGGTTCAGTCGAGAAGGGCTAGTTGTTGTTAGAAGTCTAGAGAGTTCAATTGAAGAAGAGTTCACTTGAGTCGAGTTGTAAAGAATTGGTTCGAGTTATGGAAATGGAAGACCAAGGTGATTGAGAAGAAATGGCAAGAAATGGATTACGCTGTGAAAAAAAGAAGACTGCATGTGTGATTTGAAGTTATAGTGAGACTGTCATAAATCCGTTGCCAGGATACGGCTAGTGAAAACTGAGAACCCTAGTGCGTGTGTAACGCTGAACTGTAAAGTGTGTATATCAGCGATAGCGCTGGATAACCTGTAGTCCCGAGTTGTGAATGTATACGGTGCCAATAAATCCTATCATCCAATCCAAAACGCGTCTTATGAGTCACCCATACACGTGACATTGTCTATTTATAAAGGAATGATGTGTGTGGAAATGAGTGGGGAAATATGTGGAAGAAATCTGTCGTGGTCTGTTTGAAAATACTGGTGTCTTCATCTAGAAATGAAGGAAAGTTTTGAATATGTCAAGAACAGTCGGTTTCACAGCCGAGATTCGAATAATATACCTCTAGGACACGAATCGCTACAGATTTTGTTCCGATCGATTAATATTGTTGGGTAATGCTACTACGGAATTCTGTATTTCAGCATCCCATTGCAATTGCTCAACTTAACGTTCATTATTTATCGTTCGTCAATATTGCAACACTCTTCCATTCACCACTCAATTTTTAGTTTAACATTATACACCTTGACACTACATGTTTCGGCCCCAAACGGCAATATTCAGATGTCTTGATATGTTACAATTATTTTATTAAATTGTGTTAATGTGTATAATGTTAAATTAAAAATTGAGTGGTGAATGGAAGAGTGTTGCAATATTGACGGACGATAAATAATGGACATTAACTACTACGGAAGTTGGCCTGCAGGTCAGTTGTATTACATACCAGGAACACTTCGAGACAGAAGATGAAAGGAAACCGATGCCACACAATTTAACTGGCCATATGCATAAATGGTTGGCAATAACTTCGCCGATAAGCGTCGGTTGCTCGGTCGGTATAGTTCGCTTGCAGACTCAAGCTACGGAGTTTTTGTTTGTATATGCAAAAAAGGATTTATTCAGAAGCTGTGTTTTGAGAAATGCAATGGTCGACTTTACAGACGTTTCAAACGACATACTTCAATCTGAATAACAAGTTATGTATAATCTATGCTATAGCATAAGAGCCTTTTGTTTCTCGAAGTTTCTCGTTTCTCACGTCTCTGCTCTAGTTCTAAGCAACAATACCCGGGTTTTGTTGTGGATAAGGCGATCCATGACCCAACTATTTCGTTGAGAAATAACCTATGCAATCACTATGCTGACCTACGGCGGTAAATAACGGAAGTTATGGTTGATATCTCATCCTTTCGTTTTCATAACAAACATTTAGTGACAAGAATATTTCAGTGTTTGTTTGTTTCTTGCAGTGCATCAACTTTCATATGTCAGTTACGAGATTGTACTAGAAAGAAACGCTGAAGTAGACTGGCGCGTTTTCATGGTTTCAGCAGAGTGTATTTCAAGAAAAAGCTGGGCAAAGAACTGTAACCAGTTAAATAAGACTGATCTTTTCCCGGGAATGAAACGGTCGGAGCTTGATACGTGCTACTGACTCCTTCAGATCTGCATACATCCACTCTACCGTGTATCATAGCCTGATACATGAGCACATGAACAAATTTGCTTTCAACGCTCCCTAGTTTGGTCGGGATAGCTCAGTCGGTATAACGAAGGGCTACGGGCTGGAAGGCCGGGGTTCGATTCCTGGTAAGGATAAGATATTTATTCTGTACTCCATAGCGTCCATAGCTTGCCCAGCCTCCTTTCCATCGAGTATCGGGGTCTCTTTCTCCGAGGATAAAGAGGCCGGAGTGTGAAGCTGACCGCTTGCCGCTATCTACTGCCGAAGTCAAGAATGGTGGAGTTATACCTCCACTCCCCCATATTTTTTCATGGCGTGGTGCTTAATTAATTAAACACAGTGATATTTTTTACTTTTACCTTACTCTCCCTACCTATGTAGTAGTTATTTGTTAAATTCTTTTAGTTACTGGATGAGCTAATTAGTTAGGTAGCGAGCTAATTACCTGTGTGTATATTGTAGCTAGATGGATAAATAGTTTTTAGATAAGTTGACAGACAGAGCAATAGTTAGTCAGGCAATTAGGTAGGTAATTAGTTAGGTTGGAAAGGAAAGAGCAACCATGCAGACGGTCTGCTCTTCCTCAGAGCAAGCCATGTGTCAGAATGTAGGAACATTCCATCATCTGTTGCGCCGCTGTTGCACGCAACGCTGTCCCACTTGTTCCAAATCGTCACAATGAGTTTCCCCTTCCTCACCCACAGCTCTGTATGCTCCTGACACCAGCAAACTGAACTTCACAGCCGAGTAGTTAACATTTCTGTTGTGTATTCGGGAGGTCCTGGTGTCAAATACCAGCCTGGATAGCAGCCATTGTTATCGTGCCTTTCATAGTTTTCCTCAGTACCTCCAAACAAATGCTGGCATAACACCTCAAGTTACCACTACCACTTCCACCCACATCTATTCCAATTCATTAATCATTCAGTTATTTGACGGTATTCAATATGAGTTATTGAACACAAAGTTGAATTACTCACAAATTAACAAATAAATAGTAAAACCACAACTGATTCATGTCTAGTCTCTGACTGGTCGGTTGTATTTCGGTTCCGTCCAGTGTGACTAGTAAAGATTTTTCTTATTTCAATCCTTCATCCCTTACCTGTTTCGGTCTTTACAGACCATCCTCAGAGGGACACCAATACGATTGGAAGCCACTATTTCATGAGCTGAGGAGCTAGAATTGTGTGCTGGCATGGGCACAGATATTTCTCTTTGCCACCACGTCTTACTCCAACCTTAATAGGTACAACGAATTAAACAAGCAGAGCATGAAGCTGATTATTTACCTCTGTTTGGTGCTGGGGTTTAGAATATACTGAATTTTACCTCTGTGCTACTTTGTAATTACACAAATGAAAATTGCTTTGAATAAAATTGTGTAAAATTCAAAATGTTTTGTGTTCACTCTACAGCTACTACTGATCTTCAGGCAGCCAATTGCATAGACTATGGCAAGCAGTGCAGCAGGAAGGGCTATTTCATCAGTCGGAAAGCAGCCGTGTTGATAGCGGTTGTCTACATCTGCTCCCTTGTACTCACAGGATTGCTGGTGTTTTACTGTGTGCCACGGTCCAGTTCTTCTAAGTTGCAGGCATCAGACACAAATCTCGCCAGAACCTTTAGAATGAGGCCACAAGTGACTCTGCCCTACCAGAAGACTCACAGCAGCAACCGCCTAACAACCCACACTATACCCACTCACTACAGGTCAGAGACAATATTTCTCTGCTTCAGATAATCATTGGAGGTAAATTATTGTTGCATTGGTGCTGCTGATTAGATTTCAGTGGTTTTCAGTATGACCAATGGATACAAACCATTATGAAGAATATATTTGGATTAACTCTGACAGAAATCAAAATTTTTTGTAACAGATTTCCAAACCTCTACCAGAGAATCCACACTGCTTATTATTCAGCCATAATATACATACAGATTCACACTGGCATGCTCATTGGGATGCATTTAGCACAAAGTAATGAAATATGAGGCTACAGAAACCTGTGTTCAAAAATATCAAGTTGGATTCTTTGTTCTTCCTTTCCTTCTGATTTCTTCCTTTGGAACCAGTGCCTGTGTTTATGTTTATTTTACATGTTCTACCCTAAAAGTCTGAAAATGTTATAACTATAGTATTTTCTGCAGAGTATATACTAGTAATTCCTTTCTCAAGAAATATATTGAATGTCATCAATGTTATGTCTGAAAACTGGGATTTGAGTGAGTAAGGTTGTGACGAATTTTTCACATGCTGTTTTGAAATTAAAAACTGTAGAACTTATAACCGAAAATGTCATGAGTATTTGCAGCAATCTACAAGGAACTCTTTAGTTTTTCTATGTTAACAGTTGATTTCTGTTGGTTTTAACCAGCAAAATGTGTTTCGAGTTTATATTTTTCATTATAATCTTCAGTGTCATCCTACCCAGTATTAGACCTCTTGAGACCTGTTATTTGTGTTAAAAAACAAATTTCTTCCATCATTTCAGAGGTCTTCCTAAATTTCTTTTCTTTTAGTTGATATTTTGAAGTGCCTTTGAAATCCTGTCATGGGTCATTCTGCGAACATGCTCTTTCCAATTCTCTCTGTATTCTCTACATTTTATTAATTGAGGAACTTCCAAGTCTCCAAATTTTATTTTTATAGAGTCTGAAAGGCTGTATCCCACAGTCATCCTCATGAAACTTGTTTTTGCTGATATCTGCCTTCTTTCATTAATCATCAGCATATAATTCATGACCATATGATGCTGGTCTAGAACATGTCTCATAAATTTGTTATTGAATGCCTAGAAAATAATGATGGTTGAAGGTATAATATTCCTCATGGACATTTCAAGAATGAAATGTAGAAATTCCACACTGAAAATCATTTGAATGCAAATGATTCCTAACTTGAAATGTTAACTGAAAATAGTTTTTCAGTGACTGGAATTAAAAGTAAAAGCTTTTTGTCACTTCTCAACACACTTTAGAAATCTGAGTTTAAAACTGGAATTGTCTCAAGAGATTAAATTCTCCCCAAGTATTAATATCTGCATGAATACAAGTGTTACTGTACATAAGTATTTAAACGATGCAGGGTGATTGAATAACATCCCTCAGTTCAAAAATGCAATAATTTGAACAAGTGCAGGATCCAGTTGGTGCCTTTTATCATGGAAGACAACTTCACGACATCAGGTGAGGTGTGGATCACTCTGAAGTGCCTTGAGGCAGCAGATAACATCACCCTCAACATTAATGACATTGAGGTGCAAGAGAGCTCTGTTAAGGTCACGCAGTTACACCCCAAGAAGGATCTCAGCATTCAGGTCTGCATAGTTAAAGATTTCACAACATTTGCATGACTCCATAGTGTCCAGATTTATTAGGATCTTCAAAGTGAGGAGTGTTGAATGAGAAGGACATGCAACACACATAGGGGACAGGAGAAGTGCCTACAAAATTTTAGGCAGTGATAGTATCCTCAGGTTGTGTAAGGAGGATACAGCCTCCAGATATGAGGGTAGCTGCGAATATATTGAATAAGCAATCATGGACACCCAACAGGAGGTGGTCCTCCAGCTGGGGGGTTGGGCATCGGGCTAACAACTCCTCACAGTAAAAAATGTGCTTGTTACGAAACATCACAAGAAGCCTCGGTCCTGGACTTATTCTTTGGATAAACAACTTACGCGAAAGAAAATGGATATGAGATTTGGTAGTTGGAATGTTAGAAGTATGTAGAGGGCAGGTTCGCCTAAGACAGTGGCAGAAGAAATATCAAAATTAGCGGGAGTATAGGAGGGCAGATGGTACAGAGGAGGCACCAAATCAGCAGGTGAATATACATTTTTCTATGGAAAGGGAATGAGAGTCATGAATTAGGTACAGTTTCTTTTACACAAGAGAATCATATCAGCAATCAAGAAGAGATCATTAGTGATAGGATGTCATATATAATACTAAGAGGCTGCTGGTGTGATATCACTATTCTGAATATTCCTGCCCCAACATAAGATAAAATTGATGTTATGAAAGACAGCTTCTATGATGAACTAGAACATATATTCAATAAATTCCCTAAATACCATACGAAAATTTTGTTAGGAGATTTCAATGCCAAAGTAGGTAGGAAAGACATTTTCAAACCAACAACTGGGAATGAAAGTTTGCACGAAATTAGTAATGATAGTGGAGTTAGTGTAGTAAACTATGCCACATCCAAAAATCTTATTGTCAAAAGTATGATATACCCACATTGTAACATACATAAATTTACTTGAACATCTCCTGATGGGAAGATACACAATCAAATTCACCATATTGTCATGTGTAGGGTGGTATGCATGGCAAAAATGACGGGTTCTAGTTTAGATTATTGGATTTATTAGCATCTTGGTTAGAAGTTCTCTTAATCACATTCAAATACAGCGCTATCATTGCTTTTACAGTCATCCATTGCGCACGCACTAGGATTCTCTGTTTCCACTACTCGTCTCATAGCAATGGATCTCAACACAGAAACTATCACTTCAAGTCACTATGAAGTCTTCTAGCTTTCTCCAATGAACTTCCATGAATCTTCCACTGAGAACTCAGAAATGACTGACAGCATTCACTTCTCTCATAAGCACTCTGCACACTGCACTAGGCTCTCAGTCTTGTCTAAATGAAGTCAAAGTCAAAGTCAAAGTCACGTTGCGACTGACGGTCAGTCAGTCAGTAAGTCTTGGTGTCGAGCCCTATCTGGCGCTCATGACCAGATATTAATTATTACTCTTTGACAGTTACGGTCTTTTTTTCTGTGGGGCGCCCTCTCTGATGAGAGGATGGGTCTGTCTTTTGTACATGCTGTTGTCCCTTGCCAGCGCAGACTTTCTTGGGTCCGAGTCCCTTTGGACTTTTACTGTCTTAGATTTGAGACTTTCCTTTTTGTTGCCTCTTACGACTCGCAGGGTCAAGGTGGAGGTATTTGTCACCGCCTCCACACGGGGTATTCCCTCTCTCTTGTCTAAGCTGTAACAGATGATCATTATACAAGCTCCACATGAACCACATAGAAAACATCTTTCATTTTTGACTCCCATTGTTGTAACCCACTCAAATGAAGGTTGTTTACAGGTCGTTGCAGAGAAATGGCGATTCTTCTACTGTTGCCTTATGTGTATTCAGTTGCTAAGTGTTTACTGGTCTGTGACCTAGCAATGCTCTGGCCATCTATGTTACACTGTTTTGATAGATAGGAGACGGCATTCAAGTATACTTGATGTCCGATCATTCAGGGCAGCAGACTATGGTACTGACCACTACCTGATGGTGGCAAAATTTAGGGAGAGACTGGCAGTGAGGAAAAAGTAAACCTGCACAGATTTCATATGGAGAGGTTCCATCTAAAGAAATTCAATGAGATGGAGGGTAAGGAGCAATACCAAGTTGAAATCTCAAATAAGCTTGCAGCTTTGGTAAACTTAAATGCTGAGGTGGATATTATAGAGTTTGGGAAACTGTTCGAGAGAATCAAAATAACTGCCAAAGAGAGTGTAGGTCATTATGCATTGAAGAAGCATAATTCACGGTTCAATGAAGAATGTCCATAATTATTACACGAAAGGAAACAAGCCAGATTTCAGTGGTTACAATTTACAAGCAAAATAAATGAGGATAAGCCGAACAATACGGCACATGATTCTTTATTATGATTTATGATTTATGATTGGAATGATTATGATTTATGATTGTGGGGACAGGATGCACAAATATATATTGTCAAAATGGGTATCTTGGCAATAACTTTGCCGAAAAGTGGCGGTTGCTTGGTTGGTATAGTTCATTTGTGGACTAAAGCCACAGAGTTTGTTTGTTTTTTTGGGGGTATCTTGCAAGAGTCTGGCAGGATGAAACAAAAGTCATGATTACTCTTTGTGTAAAGGTGGTTTGAAAGTGTTAAAAGATTTTTATAAAGGTAAAGGTAAAATTGTCCCCGTGCTTAACTAATTAAACACTACACCATGAAGGTGTATAGGGGAGTGGGTGTATAGATCCACATTTTCTTGACCTTGGCTCTAGTTGGAGGTGAGTGGTCAGCTTCACGCCACGGCCGCTTTACCCCCGGGGAAACAGCCCCTGATACCCATTGGATAGGATTTTGGGTGGACCCCAGAGCTAGTCTGGACGTTGTGGAGAAGAGAAAATTCTTGACCCTACCAGGACTCGAACTCTGATCTCTTGGTCATCCAGCACATAGCTAGTTGCTATACCGACTATGCTATCCTGGCTCACAAAACATTTTATACCATTTTAAATTTGAGAAATAATGGAAAGTCAGAAGTTTAAAAAATAGAGAAAGGAAATCTTATCTCTCAAATACAAACTGCAGCAACTATTTCATTATTCAAGAACACTAATATCCACAGACATTTGTCACTTATAAAATTATGAGATGCTTTTCTTAAAAGAAATATCTGGATTAAAGTAGAGTGATACAGTATTATAAAACTTTAGTAGTCCATGACATGGCAAAGTATATACATTAATTGAAACTGGAAATATTTTGACATAAAACTTGTTGCTGTGCCACAATGAAATAAGTTTATATAAAAATGGCTGATGCTGTGATTAATATAGTGGAGTATATGATGCTAAATGTACATTTTAAAGCTTATTTAACTTAAGAGCAACCAGATATTCATGTATTGCACTGATTTATCACAAATGATGTTCAGGTGACTTAGTCATGCTTGTGCAAACATGTAGATCTGAAGAACCTGAAGTTCCAAAAGTTAGGATAGGTTAGATTTAATTGTAGTTTTTAAGTTTTAATTTGATAATATTATTGATGTGATGGAAGCTGTGAATAACCAGAGCAAACAAGTTGACTATGCATCCATTAACTATCCAGCTTATCATAATGAATTATTGTGATGTTGAAAGTAATTTGAATTAATCAGTTAACATCAGCACCAAATAGCACTGAAACGATACTTAAATACACAATCATTCTACTTTGTGGCAGAAAGATAACTAAAGGTGTAATGTTTATGTCCATGTAGAGTAGTTCGTTTCTTTTCATGGTGTGGGACATTGGCATGGTGTGAATGGAGGATATGGCCTCCACATATGGAGGATAACTGCAATATATTAAACAAGCAGTAGTAGACAGTCACCAGTGGCTGGGTCCTCCAGCTTTGAGGTTGGGTTGGTTATTACCTACTCCTCACTATAAAAACCAAATATTAAAAACAGAGGCATGGATGGGTGGATAATATTAAAAACAGACTGGATTTACTTAGCTTAGTGTTGGGCCCAGTGGTGGGGTCTTATGAATTTAGTAATGAATTTCCAGTTCCAGAAAAAGTAAGAAAATTCTTGACTAGATGAGGGACTGTTAGTTTCTTAAGAAGGACTCTGCTTCACATAGTTAATAATATTTATATATGCTAATTTTTATTATGTTGTAGTTAATGGTTCTGTTCGAAAATATCTGTGTCTATTTTTCAGATGTTCTCCCATTTTGACACTTAGTGACTTTCACTGGTACTGGTGATGTTTCAGGTGGTTGATCATGTATACAATACAGATGCACAAACATACAGTTCAATCTTGGACCAGCAGCTGATGCCTGGCGGACAGTACGAATTATATATCAAATTTATGGGACATATTAATGATCATCTTCAAGGCTTTTACCGTAGCAGTTACTTTGATCCTGAAACAGGGCAGAAACGGTAAGAATGTCCATGTGGTAAATTCAGGACATGATTTACTGTAACAAAATATTATTACTGCTAGAGAAACTACTCTTCTTTTTGGCCATGTAGAGGAACTTATTTCGCTATTTATGGTTTATGTGACAGTGCTGTCAGTAGCTCAGATTATATTGTGTAAATGATAGTATGATTAATGAAAAATAAATTGAAAAGGGTGTGGAGTGAGTGATCATGACACGGTTTTTAAGATGCAGAAAAGAGTGATACAATTGATGATGGGTCATGGTTACAGGAAATCATGTAGAGATCTCTTCAAGGAAATAAATATTCTGCCTTTAAAATCACAGTGTCTCCACCTTATCATAGTGAAGGGGTTTGAGTATGCCAAGGACCCTGAGAGCTATACCAGTGGTAGCGTAGCTACTGGCAGGGCCTCCCTTGCTGGACAGGTCAAAGGATAGGCATCAGACGAAGAGAGACACCAAAAACCAAAAACTGATGCCGGAAGCAGCGTCATCAGCAGCGACTTGAAGCACAGAGCAAATGATGCTCGAGATGGTTCAAGTTCACATAGCAACAGGCGTGACCAGAGTGGTTTGAATGGCTGTTGTACTGTGATGTGGAAAACAAATGGAAAAACTACCACATTATCACTTTTCCTGGATAGTCTCTTTCCAAAACAGAGATACCATGTATGCGAGATTAAACTGGAGGGGCAGATAGACGTGACTAGAAGACGAGGAAGAAGACGTAAGAAGATGCTGGATGACTTTGGGGATAGAGGAGGATATTATTATTTGAGGAGAAAGTTGAGATCGCATTAAGTGGAGGAACTGTTTTGGAAGAGACTGTGGACCTGTCGTCTGACAGATTACAGATGAATGAAATATACATTCATTAATGATGTTTGTAATAAAAAACAGAGATAAATTTGTTACAAATAAGGATTATTATGAAGTTAAAACCAGACAAAATATTAAATTACATATATACCAGGTTAACTTGGCCATATATGGTAAAGGAGTATATCACATGGCAGTAAAGGTTTTTAATGGACTTCCTTATAACCTCAAAGAAATCTCTAATAATCCAAAACAGTTTAAAGTTAATTTAAAGGGCTTTCTGTGTTCAAATTCACTCTATACATTGGAGGAATTCTTTAAAAGATGATTGTATATCTGCAAAAATTGAGTATTATTGATTATATTATTATATTTGAATGATTTTACGCATATGTACATATCTATATTTGATGGAATGTATTTGTAATTATTGCTTTGCTGCTATTTAATAGGTTTTTATTACTAGAGTACTATTACGTTCATATTACAATGACTTAAGAATTGTTTCAGTTGTACTGGGTGGTGTGCAAGTTTAGGCTTACTTTGTTTGTGACTATTTCCACATTCTATGAAATTGTTTTCTGTATGGATTTATGGAAAATGAATAAATTAATGAATGAATTGTTGTTACAGGTGGCTGGCAAGCACTCAGTTCTCTCCAACAGATGCTCGTCGAGCATTCCCTTGTTTTGATGAACCAGCATTCAAAGCCCGCTTCACAGTGAGCCTTGCTCGATCTGCCAACTTATCATCACTCTCAAACATGCCTCTCAATTTCACAGAACCCATGTAAGTATGTTGAGAAAGCATGACAGACTTTCAGAAAAATCAGAACATGTGTGATTCTCTGGATGTCTGAAATTTACTGATGCAAGAAATGCATATGCTCGTTTTGTTAAAGTGAAGTTCACCATATAATTCTGTTCAATATAGGCATCATGATCTGTTCAGAGATGTTTATGATGGGAGGGTGGGTGAGCATGTTCATCTGTATTGAGAAACAGAATATGAGAATAAAGGACATGTGACTGTGAACACAACCAAAAGTAAGTTTTCAATCTGTCATTCTCAGTGAATGTATAAAATAACATGGGACATCATTTCTGTCCAATCATTTATATGCTTCTATCCTAAACTACTTTAGTATAATCTCACGTTCTTGATCTATGCTAATGTTTGTCATTAAAATTTTAAATTTTCAACTTTCAACTTAATTTTCGTCCATAACTGAAGTGAATACAATTGGACATATCAAGAAATAATAACAAATGCATCACACATCAAAGTCACATGAAATTTACACAGTGATTTATCACTGTAATATAGCAACCGTTATAAGGGGCCGCACCATAGCTCAAGCAGTTAGTCGCTGGCTTCCCACCACGGCGGCCTGGGTTCGATCCTGGATCTGGTCAAGTGGAATTTGTGGTGGGCAAAGTGGCGCTGGGACAGGTTTTCTCCAAGTACTTCGGTTTCCCCTGCCAATCTTCATTCCACCAATTGCTCCACAATCACCCTCACTTATCATCTGGGGCTGGTACAATAGGCCAGAAGTGGCCACAGTACAAGGGACTTAGTCCCATCCCACTAGCAATAAAAAAAAACGTTATAAGGAACATAATAATAAAAAATACAGCAGACCAAAAGAAAAATGTCAGTAATATAAAACGTGGGGCACGCGGTAGTGTAGTGGTTGAGGTGCTATGCTACAAGTTGGAAGGTCGCGGGTTCAAATCCCGATGAGGTAATTGGATTTTTTCAGTTGACTTAATCCTTCCAGCCGCACTAGGCCCTGGGGTTTACTCAGCCTCTAACAGAAATGAGTACTAGGAATTAATTAAATAATTTTCCTTAGGAGTAAAGCGCGGCTGGCGTGTAAGGCTGACAACCTTACCGCCATCTTTGAGCCGACTGTCTAGATAATGTGGGACCCTCAACGTCTCACAACCCTATGGGCCTTCACGGCCTGGTACAGGGATAGCTTTACTTTTTACTTTTTATATAAAACATATAAACACGGTATTAAAAATTGCAAACCAAAAGACAATCAACAAGCTAGTCATCAATCCAACACAACAAATAATTTTTTAGTTTCCTATTAAAAACATTAAACGCTTTTCAGTTCAAAGGGAAGGCAATTAAATATTTTAGTTCCCATGTTAAATACACCTTTTTTTTTTTTTTGCAACGATCGGTGTTACAAAATTGGGCATACAAATTATGTTTATGTATGGTATTGTAGTTGTGAATGTCAGAATACTGAGGTGTATATATCTTATTCTTTAATATAAAACATAAAATCTCAAGTATATAATGAGGTAACAGTTAAAATCTTAAATTCACCAAACATATTTCTACAGGATACTCTATTATTAACACCTTTAATCACTCTGAGACATTTTTTCTGTATTTTAAATACAGTTTATAAAAATTAACATTAGTGCAATATAATCACAACTTCTTAGGGAACTTAGACTTGCTTTTATGAAATGTCTTAAAAAATGTGCATGGTATAAAATATAGACATCATTAAGATTTATAACTTTATATGATACTTTGGTGTGGCATATATATTACAAAACATTAAAGGGAAAGTAATTTATGTCTATATTATAACTTCCTCTCGTTGCTGGATGCCATTTTAACTGTCCCGTCAATTTCGTCTTATCTTTTTCTGGCTAGACATTCAAGGATCAGGATTTTTAGTTAGTTGCTAGGCAGCTCCATATAGAAAATAAGAACTTCTGCTTCAGGGCATATTCATGGATGACAAATAGTCCTCGGATGGCAACCAAAGATGAGGAAGATGAATGAAGTAGATAATGCCAGCTGCTGGTAGTTAGACGTCATAGGTATATTCTGGGAGGGGAACATATATTCATGAAGTATTGTTTGATGATATGACACACTTTGAGGTCACCAAAGGCAAATACTGTATTTCTTGGATATGTAATACTGCATGTTGTGCATGCTGTATTTCTGCCTCTGCCTGTTTAGTATGAAAATTATCACTGTTGGATGGACAATGAAAGTTTATTGCTTGAAGTAATTTAATGTAGATTTGGCAGCTAAATATCGTTGCCAAATATCCTTCTGAACCAGAATAGTGAAAGGTTGTACATTTTCAAAGCAATATTGGAAAGTAATTTATTAAAATATTTACAATAACTAATCTGTAAGAGATTCAGGTTTTCTTAGCTGGGAAGATTTTAATTATGTTCTTCTATTTGCAATACCATGTAGTCTGGTCGGTAGTTACCAACAATTTGTAGGAATGTGCTATATCCGTTTTCAGGGTAGAAGACAGCAAATTCTGTCCTGAATATAAAGGTAGCAGGTAGATCCAGACTGCCTGTCATCACCTACTAGACTTCAGTGTGTCAAACCAGAAGGTCACAATTTCAGAGTGTTTTTAATGTAAACAATGTAACATATTTTTATTTTATGGACCATGACATGTATATGCTAATAATTTTTATTGTTTCTGTGAATTTTGAAATAACGTAAGCGTAATATTTCATTACATTCCTAAATTTTAAGCAAGTATGATTTTTTAAAGAGCTGCAGAAACTGCTTCTGGTTGTGGTAACTTTTAATTACACCTAGCTGAGAGAGAAATAAACTGCTCTGAGTTCAAGCAGTATGGATAAGGCATTACTGACGATTTGATTGTGTGGTAGGTCTGAAATTCCAGGCTGGGAGTGGGACCATTACAACGAGACTGTTCCCATGTCCACATATCTTGTTGCTTTCATCATTTCTGACCTCCACTCTTTGGATGCAACTATGACGAATCTCTCCATAAGTGAGGACAGTTTCAGGTCAGATGTAGCAAGGAAGTGTAGAGTAATCATGTATGTAATTTTGGTTTTTGAGGTCCATGGACATTGTTTGTTGAAGCTGTTATATTATTTCAGTATGTGTAACAGTCAGGCTCTTCACTGCAAATAGGGTGGAGGTAGGAAGTGGAATGATATGTAGGTCTCAGAATGGTTGTATGGGTAGGGGTTTTGAGCATAGTGGTATCCAATTGGAAGTAGCTATGTAGTTATGAAGCAAGTAGGAAGGGAAAGAGGTGGGGCCATACTTTGCTCAGTTTGTTTTCATTTTTATGCTTGAAATTATGGGGATGATTTACAGTTTCAATGGCGACATTTATAAACCTTGGATTTTTGTACCAAGAGTTGTTTTTTTTTTTTTTTGAAGATCCTCTACATCTGGAGAAGAGTGTACATTTGTCAAACCAGCTGTCACATCTCCATTGGAATACTGGAACACAACAGTGGAGCCAAACTAGAAAACCAATGCTCAGCAGTAACCAAGACCAAACACAGCATTGAATTTGATAAAATTGAAGCCCTAAGAAAGATCCACACTTACTTTCCCCAGATCATCAAAGAAGCCATTGAAATAGTAACACCCTCACAACTTTAATTGTGAAGGCAGTCAAAACTCAGCAAAGTCTTGGTACACTTCCTTTCCTCTAATCTTTAATCCTCTGTACATATGAGCCAATTCGGTGTGTTTATGTTAAAATAGCTGCAGCAAAAGAGATTTGCTCATTAATAATTACTTAGTAGAGCATTTCGTTCAATAGATGGCATCAGGGGTGATTTACAGATGGTGAAAGGAAAGATCAGGCCCCACTGCTATCTACAGATGAGACTATTTGGAAGTAATTTGCAGACTCCCGCTCCAACAGCATTTTCCCCAAGTGGCCATGTCATTTCTAGCAGGTACATCTATGGCAGGGCTTGGCAGTCAGTGGGTTAACCACATCCTCCCTCTCCTCTGGATAGCCCCGTGATTCACATTCTAGTCTTACTTCCATTATGGCACCAGATAACGACCGACATTTACTGCCTGATTATATGACTGCAAAAGTGTAAGGTAAAATATGGAACAGCTTCAACAGACAGTGTTGCAGAATCCTGAAAGCCAAATTGATACAATTAGATGTAATCCTTGAAACACCAGAAAGGAGAATGTACCATATTACTTTGAATATAAGATGGACATTTTTCACATTTTTTCCTGTTAAAAAATTGAGGTGCATCTTAAATTTGAGGAATGTGTGCCCTTCTAATTGTTTTCCGAAAAACACACTTTTAATAACTGGATATGTCTTAAAATTTGAATGCATCTTATATTTGAAGTAATATGATATATTACTCAGTTTCAAGTCTAAGCCTGGTGGTTCCACTGTAATACCTAGTATAGATAGTTCATAATATGTAAGGGGATAGAATCGTTCGCCATAACTATAGAAAATATTTAGTATTTAGTTCTTTAGAATATGCAGAATAGAAACTCAAAGATTACAATCAAACAATCTGTAAATGACAAACTATAAATCCCATTAGGGTCAACATCTTTTGTTTGAAATATTTTTGATATGGTGAATATGTATCAAAATACAAGCAAAATTTGTTTGATATTTGGGAACGATGGTAACAAATCAAAACCTGATTCAGGAGGAAATTAGGAGGAGACTGAACTTGGGCAATGCTTGCTACCATTCAGTCCGGAACCTTTTTTTTTTTTCATTTCATTTCATTTGTCTTCTCGTCTGCTGTCCCAAAACATAAAAATTACAATATACAAAACTATAATTTTGCCTGTGGTTCTGTATGGGTGTGAAACTTAGTCTCTGACATTAAGGGAGGATCATAGACTGAGGGTATTTGAGATCAGGGTGTTGAGGAGAATATTTGTACCGAAGAAGGATGAAGTTACAGGAGGTTGAAGAAAAGTGTATAATGAGGAGCTTCCTGGCTTGTACTCTTCTCCATGTGTTATAATTAGAATGATCAAGTCAAGGAGGATGAGGTGGGCGGGTCATGTAGCACGAATGGGGAGAAAAGGAATGCATAAGATATTGGTGGGAAAGCAAAAAGGAAAGAGACCACTGGAAAAACCAAAGCGTAGGTGGATGGAGAACATTAAAATGGATCTTAGAGAGATAGGATGGGATGGTATGGATTGTATTGATCTGGGTCAGGATAGGGACCAGTGGAGGGCTCTTGTGAACACAATAATGAACCTTTGGGTTCCATAAAATGCTGGGAAGTTCTTGAGTAGCTGCACAATTGGCTTCTTCTCAAGAAGGGCTCAGCTCCTTAAGTAAGTACAAGCAAAATTATTTTTTCAATGTGTGGTATAATTAGTTTTGCAACAGTTCATGCAGATTGAATTAAACTGGCTCAGGATAAGGATCAGTGATAGACTCTCATGCAGAAGGTAATGGATATTCTGGTTCATAAAGCAGGTGGAATTTCTTGACCAATTGAGAAATCTGTTTCTCAAGGACTCATTTCCACAGAAAATAAATGATTAATGAAGAAGGAAATAACTCTTACACAGACTTATATATTGGAACCCTAACATGTGCTACACAGATGGTGCTCTTTCTCAGAACGCTCTCTGCTGCAGGTTCACAGTGTGGGCTCGTGAGTTTGCACTGCCCCAGACAAGCTATGCAGCCAGGATTGGACCAAGAATTCTGCATTACCTGGAAACATACTTCAACATACCATTCCCATTGCCCAAACAAGACATGGTGGCGCTCCCTGACTTCGGATTCAGTGCAATGGAAAACTGGGGGCTCATAACTTTCAGGTAATTCTGTGTTAGGATGCATGTGAAGTCTCAAGTTTTCAATCTTGGCCTAGCAAATACTTTTGTAATCAAGATTTTTTTGCTTTTTCTTAGTTTCTCCTAGAAAATGCTGTCATAATACCTTAAAAATAGACCATAGAAAATGTTGGAATAGGGCTTTAAGACAGACCATAACAATTTAATTTTTATGACCTTTTCAATTCATTATTCATGATCATATTTTATTTGATGTTATACGAGTATAGTCTCTGAATCTGTGAAGCATCATTATTAAATGAACAAAGAAATGACATATGTCTGAACTCTGGTAGTCATCTAATGTGGCCAGCTTTCTGGAACTCCTTGAGGTATGTTGTTTGCTTCAAAGTCTATTGCAGTAATTGTTATTGAGGTGAAGAGAAGGTGAAGTGAATTGAGAGAGTATGGGGAAGGAAGTGACTGTGACTTTTCTTTTCTTACATTTCACACAATGGCACCCCACAAGTGGAGTCTTTTGTACTTGTTAAATGAAAGTATAAACAGCAAGTCAAATGTATGTATGAGGGGGAGTTGGGTAGGTTCAAAGGTAATGGATAGTTTTGTAACAGATATACGTCCCAAACTATTTTTCCCTTCTGTTCTTACTTTGAATGTGTAAACAGACATCTCAACCATCAAGTTTTGACCACAAGATGTGTAACAGCCAAGTGTACCCATGGAGGAACAAAGAAGAAATAAATTGCATTCATCATGATCGCTTCTGGAATTTAGTACTATAAATAAAAAGCTAAATTTGCGGAGGTCATATCATCTTGATACAGGACTTTCACAGTACCATGATTCCTCTCCAATCAGCTTGTAAATATAATGTTACATCATAATTGAGGGGCATGCGGTAGCATAGTTGTTGAGGCACTATGCTACAAGCTGGAAGTTTGAAGGATCAAATCCCGATGACGTCATTGGATTTTTTTCAATTTACCTAATCCTTCCAGCCGCACTATGGCCTTGGGATCGAATTATCCTTTAACAGAAATGAGTACCAGGAATATTCTTGGAATATTCTTTGAGGTAAAGAGCGGCTGGCGCATAGGGCTGAAAACCTTATTGCCGTCTATGAGCTGATTGTCTAGAAAATGTGGGAACTTCAACAACTCACAACCCTATGGGCCTCCAAGGCCTGTTACAGGGATACCGTTACTTACTTTTTTACTTTTACATCATAATTGAATTATTATCCATGGTGTATGTTATCAAGATTACTACCTGAAATTGTATATGTGCACTTACCATGACAATTTTTTTAAAATAAATTCACTAGTAGATGCATTTTGACTTGGTCAGTCATTTTTGGTGTCACATCATAATGTTACAGCTGAGTGACTGGTAAATTATATCATCTGTATTCAAAGAATGCTAAATTCAAGACTCCTGGGCACTTGGTTTAAGATATCTTCTGTCCTGACTAATATCTCTCATGGATTTCCTCGTGTTATTGGTTAGAATCTGAGATAATTCCTTAAAATATGAATATTTCTTCCCTAGCTTTTTAAAGTTTTCCTACCCTGATCATCTTATTTTATATTAAATAACATTCAATGTTGCAGCTTTGTTGGTAGCACTACCACTTTGACATGAGAAGTCTTGTGTTCAAATCTCAGCCCAAACATAGGTTATCTTGACTGAGGTTTTTGTTGGTTTTTCTCAGTTCCTCCAGGCTAATTTCAAATCAGTACCTGAAATTAGACATGACTTCTTACTTCCACAACCTTTTGAATTCATTTTTCACTAAATCTATCATCTGATGCTGTATGATCTGTTCTGATGACAGCATTGTTAAAAAAAGAATAAACAAATAAATAGTATATAAATACATACGTACATACATCAACGTTTCAGAGTATTCATAAGTTTGAAACTGGCACTGAATATCAAACTTGTCAAACAACAGTCACAAGACAATCACAGATAAAATCACAGAGACCTCATTTCGATCATAGTTAAAATCTGAACTGAATACCTCAATTAAATAGATACAATGTTACACATACAATTACACCAACAAGATAATTAGCAATACATACCAATTCTCCTTCCTACTCATATATATATATATATATTGTAACATGTTGCGCAACGGAGAACCCCTCCCTACCCAGCAGCAACGTGGCAACTCAGGCCACAGGCGCGTGGCGGTAACGTAGCGCTCCCTCCCACC